CCTGCCCGGCGCGGCTTTCCCGGGCGACCCGGTTCTGCTCACCCCGCGCGGGCCGGTGAGTACCCGAGGCCCCTCGGCTCCTCCCCGCGCCCAGGGTGCGCGGGGACTGGCGAGGACTATCCCGGGGCGCAGGGCGAGGCAGCGGCCGGTGACAGCTCGCGGAGGCTGGGGGGGCGGGGGCTGGGCTGGGCGGTCAGTCGGGCTCTGCCCCGGGAGGGGAGAGGTGCTGGGAGGCTCCGGCGCTCTGCAGAGCCCCGGGGCGGCCCCTGCGACAGGGACTGGGGGACGGGCGCGGCGGGGAGCGGGGTCCGCGCTGGGGACCTCGGCGGGGCCTTGGGGGCGGCGGCGCGGAGGGCCGGGGCGGCGAGGGCAGAACATGGCGCAGCGCGGGGATAATCTCCACCGGGGCGGAGGGAGGACGCGCCCGCCCTGCAGCGGCGCGCAGGGGAGGAGGGAGGCGGCCGGGCCGGGTGGCCGTCGTCCTCCGAAGACTGCGGGCTGCGGGAGGGACACGCAGCACAGGCTGGACGTGGACGCCTACACCGGGATCGGGCTGCGGGGAAAGTGGTACCCAGCGGCGAGGCGGGCCTTCCCGGGCTGGGGGGAGGGGACGGGGCAGTGTCACGAAGCTGGGGCTCAGTGACGGCCCCGCTCGCGGCCAAGACGCCCCGGACGGTCGCACGCGCCGGGCTCGGCGCGCTGCTGGCTCCGGGAGGCGGTGCCAGGGCGGGGACCGCGAGGACAGGGCGCCGTGCGGAGCGCAGGCTGCGGTGACAGCAGGCCGTGTCCCCTTCTTCCTTCCAGAAGAAGCGGCGGTAGCCGCAGCCGGGGAAGATGTCGGGCCAAACGCTCACCGACCGGATCGCCGCGGCTCAGTACAGCGTGACGGGCTCTGCTGTCGCCAGAGCAGTCTGCAAGGCCACCACGCACGAGGTGATGGGCCCCAAGAAGAAGCACCTGGACTGTAAGCTGCTCTTTACGGGAGGGGCGCGGGGAGGCGGGGGGGGGGGGGGCTGCGTCCGGAGTGCGTGGCCTCGGCGCTCCCTGGGGGGCAGCTGAGCCGGGAGCCTCCCGCCGCCGAGGTGTCGCCTCGGGTTACCCTGAAACCTTGTCTTCTGAGTCATTTTTCCCTCCTGTTGACTTCCCAGGTCTTTGGCAGGGGAAATGCACACGTATGTGCGCAGCGCCGGGAAATCGTGCGCTCTGGGGAGGCCGTTTTCACCTCTTTTTTCTTCTTTCTCCACCACCCTCCCTCCTCTGGGCGGGAGGAAATCAGCGTTACACAGTCAAAACCAACTAGAAGGCGCGTCCATGGAAGGTCAAACTTGGCCCCTAGCTCTCCCCTAGATGCGTCTCAGACAGCTCTGAGCTGATGTCGCTCCCCGGGGGCCAGTGCTGGGCTCTGCGCGCGTGTGGGTGTGTATCCTGCGCCGCCAGAGAGAGAGAGAGAGAGAGAGAGAGAGAGAGACAGAGAAAGCCACGGGCCGGCGAGGACACCTCGCTCCTGGACAATGGCGATCCTGTCTTACTCTTCCTGGTGTGTTTCTCTGCCCCACTCAGGAGATGCTGGACCAGGCGATTGTGCTGTGGTCACTAAATGGATGTACTTTCCCGTTTTTTGAGATGGTGCTGTTTTAGATGAAAACATTTAATTTGTCATATTTTTTCATAATTGACTATTCGACTGAAAAGACTTAAGTCTGTGATTCCTGTGTTTCTGAGATATTCCACTCGATTAATGTAGTAAATCTTTTGTTATTGAAGGGTAAGCAGAGATTTAGAAAAAGCCTCCACCTGCTTTGGGGGGGTGAGCCGCTAGTGAGCGAGGCCCCCAGCGCGTACCCCGCAGTCACTGCCCGGTAAACACCTGCCTGTGCCTTCTGTCTCCTTGTACTGTTGGTGAAGGTCAAGGTTGGCATGAGAGACCCAGGCATAGCCATAGCCATTTCCCCATCTGGCTTTCTTTGCATTTTCTGGATTTTTTGTTTGTTTGTTTGCCTCAGGCCTTCCCCATCATCTCCCTTGTGCAGCTGAGAAGTGGCACCAGTGTTAGGAATGACTCTGGCCCTGTTATGTGTATGAGCAAAGCTTGAGGAAGCTTACAGCTGGACACATTTGTGCGAGGGGTGTCCATCCTCGTGAACCTGTTGTCACGTACAGTTGAATGATTTTCTCTCTGGAAGCCTGTCTGAGGGGAAGACACCATTATGCCTTTCCTAAGGGAATGTTGAACAGTATTTGTTGACTAAAACACATGTTTATATGCATAGCAGAATAGGGGAGGCCACCAGGGGCAGGGCACCTGACAGAAGTGGAGATTGTAAATTCACGCCCGACTCACTGGCTGCAGTTCTGAATCGGTTAGCCCTTTCCATCCATTTCCCCCCACGGGAAGGGTGAGTCATGACTGAAAGGTGTTAAGTCGGTGTAGAAAATCCTATGATGAAAGAGGAACAGGTTATGGATTTGCTGCTTGGGATCTGTCTTGCAAGGGATAAATCAGTATATTAGTATGTTTCAGAGAACATTCACATATTAAGTATTGCATTAAAACATCACTCAGATAAAGACTGACTTCTCCAGATCTAAATATTTCATCATCTTCGTCTTCTTTAAAACTTCAGATTAATATGAGGGTACAAATGATTACGTTACAGATTTTTCATTTCTAAGGCAAAGTTCAAGTTGTAGTTGAGCCCTTCACGGGGGTGGGGGGAGTGCTGTGTGCCCTTGTGTAGTGAACACTGGTGACAGTTTACCAACTCCCTTTCTCCTCCCCTTTCCTATTCCCTCCTCATCCTTCCCCCCACTTGATTATACTTGTAGGTATGTGGTTGTTTTTCATATTATTGTTGAGTGCATTGGATACTTGCTTTTCCATTCTTGTGATACTTTACTAAGAAGAATGTGCTTCAACTCCATCCAGGTAAATACAAAAGATGTAAAGTCTCCATCTTTTCTGAAGCTGAATAGTACTCCATGGTGTACATATACCACAGTTTGTTAATCTATTCCTGGGTTGATGGGCACTTGGGTTGCTGCCATCTCCTGGTGATTTTGAATTGAGCTATAATAAACATTCTAGTGCTAATGTCCTTGTGATAAAATTATTTTTTTTCCTTCTGGGTAGATACCTAGTAATGGGATTTGGGGATCAGATGGAAGGTCTATTTTGAGTTCTTTGAGGATTCTCCATACTTCTGTGCATAGGGCCTGTATTAGTTTGTAGTCTTACCAACGTGAAAGTGTTCTCTTCTCTCCACATCAATGCTGCATTTGCAGTTTTGGGATTTTGTGATGTGGGCTGTTCTCACTGGGGTTAGGTGATATCTCAGAGTGGTTTTGATTTGCATTTCGCTGAGGACTGGCAGTGATGAGCACTTTTTCATGTGTTTGTTGGCCATTCATCTGTCTTCACAGAAATTTCTGGTCAAGTCCCTTGCTCACTTATAAATGGGGTTCTTTGCTCTTACTGATTAATTTGAGTTCTCTGTAGATTCTAGTAACCAGTCCTTTGTCAGATTCTTGGCATTCAGAAATCTTCTCCCATTCTGAAGGCTGTTTGCTTTAGTTGTTGCACCCTTGGCTGTGCAAAAGCTTTTTAGCTTGATCATGGCCCATTTATTTATTTTTGTGGTGAACTGGTAAGCCACATGTAGAAGACTGAAACTGGGTCCCTGTCTTTCACCACTTACAAAGATTGACTCTTGCTGGATAAACTATTTAAGACATAAAACAATACAAATCATAGAAGAAGGTATGGGGAAATGCTTGATACTATCAGCCTGGAAAAAGAATCTATGAAGAACACCTTTGTCTTTTAGATCTAGAAAAATCTGGGAGGTTTTCTAGTGTCTCCAGCATATATTGGGGGGAGGGGTGATTTCAAAGATGTGGAACATAGGGGAAGATTCCACATTGAAAGAAAGCAGCTGAAACAGGAACTGGTGTTAAATTATTTATGTGAACAGCAGTCGTAAGAGCTAGCCCTTTACTGAGCAGTTACTATGCGCCAGGCACTCAGCTAATATTGTTAATCCATCACCACTTACTGGATTCAGGGAGGGAAATAAACTTTCATAGCTCTTACCCACTGCACTGAACTTCCATCTGTGGTTTATTTAGCAATACCTATTTTCTACTGAGAAAGGAACCAAGAAACCATATTAGCCTGTATGGTATAATCTTGAGACTCCCACTCGGCTGTTCATGGCCCCATGTGAAACTGAGCATCAACCCACATGTCCACTGCAGTCTCTGTGACAGTCTGGAGCTTAGATCAGAAGATTACGAGAACAGCACTTACAGTTCTATGATATTTTTTAAGTTGTTAGATTAATGTGGCTCAGAATCTTTATCAAATAAGTATTTAATATAATTTAAAGTACTCATTTAAAAGATTTTTTTTTCTGTCTAGATTGATAGGCCAAGAAAATTATTGTTAATTATGGTAGTTTGCAAAATGATGCTTAATGGGATATGATTTATGATATACATTTGAAGAAATGATTTAACATCTAGGGGAAGAATTACATATGGTGAAAGGCAGAGATGAAGATGCATTCCTAGTTTTTATTTTTTTTTCAATAACAGCCTGTTTCTTGAAGGAAAAACATATTCAGAAAACCATCACCATAATCAACAGTTATATGTTAAATTTAAGAGATATGATAAACCATAATAACTTAAATAAGGATTATATGTGTCATAGTACTTTTGGATTATGTAAAACTTTTGCTCTAAAATCTGCCCTATATAATAATGTTGCCCTTTGCACCCGACATTTGTTTGACATGAATTTTTCTGTACATCCTTGCCCCCTTTCTCGTGTAACTTCTTATACCTGCTCGATAGCGCGTAAAGCATCTATATGCTTTCACCTTCTTGTTATAGCTGTTTTGTATTTCAGTGGATTTTCCTTTTCTGTTTTCTTGTTTTTGGCCTACAGGACAGCCCAAGTCAAAGCAAAAAGATCCAGCAGGGCACCTTAATGCTGTGTCAAAGTTATATGAAAAAGTTAGAGTTGGCCAAAGTAACACCTACAGGGGGAAATTTGGGACGTTTTGCAGCGCTGGTATGAGATAATTTTCAGTTCATAGGGTTTGTGAAGGATTTCCATGTATGCCACACTATTAAAGTACCCTATGTAAGATAACCAAAATTCAAACTCAGACATTACTATTAACATCAAAATAAAACTTATGAAAATCCAAGTTGGTTATCAGTAATCCCATTTCTCCCCATAAGAAACTTCTTGGGGAGGTCTAATAATGTCTTATCCCGCTTAAAAAAAAGTGTGTTAAGCTCTAAATCTCACGTTTGAGAAACATTAGAATTTTTCTAATGATCCTGTTCCTCCCGAATTAAGGAAATATGATTTTTTTGTTAGGACTCTCTGGTAAAGGTAGGAGATATGAAATGTGTTTCAATTCAAGATAAATATTGTCAAATTACTATAAAATTCCTGCTGCTTTAATTTTATTCATAAAATATTATTTATTCATTTATTTTCTGGTTTTGGCTGGGGCTGGGTTTGAACCCGCCACCTCCAGTATATGGGGCTGGCGCTCTACTCCTTTGAACCACAGGTGCTGCCCGTAAAATATTTTTTTTAAGTAAGAAAAGTTGTGAATAAAAATAGAATAAAAAATGAAGCCTAAAATTTAGTTTGATTTATACACATTGGCTCAGTAAGTAAGTAAACTATATTTTGCTTTGTTGAAATGCTATTTGCACAATAATTCAGTGGTTACCAAATTTGTGATACCTGAATAGGTCTTTAGGACTAAAAGATCCAAAAAGCAAGCAAATCTTACTGAACAAAATTAAGTGGAACCATGTATGAAAAATTTCTGAACACTATGGAGTAACTTTCAATATGAGGAATATGCTGTCTACTGTAAATATGTTTTACTTTGATTCCAGTTGTTCTCATTGAACTATTTGTTATTGTCAAAACACACC